CGGGGTTTAACATGTTACCAAAATCAAGGCTGTAAATGCCATTAGAAAAAGCATTCAAATGTATTAAAAGTCATTGAATCAAAATTTCATAGAAAATTTACTGTGTACATAAATTATGGTCTAAAATATATGTAACCTGGATAGAATATTTACAGGCAGCAATAATACAAAGATAAGAGTTCATAATGTAAGTTTCAGTTAAAAAGGATTAAAAGCATACTTTGGTTATAAGTTACATAAATATAGTAAAAGGTATAGTTCATTTAATAAGTTATGTGTTTAAAAACATTTAATGAGCCTGGTAATGTATAAGAATTCGTTTGCAGTCGATGTATTTTGTATTATTTTTATTTTGAAAGTCTACAGGAAGTGCAATGTGTGTCGCTATTGCTGTGGTTTTAGTTTGAAAGGGTAAACCGGAAGTGTGCGTGCAGACGGTGCTTAGCTTAACGTCGGAGATGAAGAGACGCAGAGAGTAAAAAGTGTCTGAGTTTCTGCAGTAAATACAGTAATTTCAGGACTGTTTGCCCAAGAGTCCGGGATTTGTTTGTTTTGTGCCTTTTTTAAAAACGTGTACGGACAGTCATCAGCTCGAGAGCGGATCGGCAGATGAGTATTATTGCTGTAGTTGGTGTTAGCTTCAGTCCTTAGCGCACGTTGGCTAAACGTTCGCGGCAATGAACTTTAATTAAGCTAAACCAGCCTGATAAAAGACTCTTGTGCACTCGATCAGGGCACTAGAACTTGCTGAAGTGTGGAGCTGCACATGTAGAGAACTGTGTTCGATGTTTTGCCGGACGTGTGTGAGCTGCAGTGCGGACGGAGAAGACCAGGAGACTAGACCTCGCAGTTGGCGCCATTACCGGAGGACCAGGAGACGGGACCACTCTGCAGTCGCCATCTTGGAGCACGACATGGCCTTCCTTTCCAGGCAAACGGAGTAGACATAGTAGACCACTTTTGACCATCAAAACCAGGTACATTGGAGTTATATTTTGTTTTGGCTCTTTAAAGAGTGAAGCGGCCATTGTGTTTTAGGCCTCCACGCTCCCAAGCATCGCTCAGGCCTGCAACTTTAGTTTTATAGCTGCAGCATAGAACTATTGTGTGTATTGTGTGAGTGATTGGTGAGTGGGCCCACTTTAGTTATAGAAAATGTTTGAACTGTAATGTAAACACATTTTTTATTTGAATTTACTAATCCAGTAAATTTACTGTTCATTCATTTACATTTGTTTGTTTATTCCTTATTACTTTCATTAGTTAAAGGTGTTGTAGGTTGCATTTAAAGGTGAATAGAGAGATATAGGACTTAAGCAGTGAGTATCTGATTTCTATATATTTAGTTTCTTGTAGTTTAGAGTTAGAAAAGAACTTGGGGGCCCTTACCATATTTCACTTGGTTTGGGTGGGCTACATATATTTATTTGCAGTTTTGGCTGAAATAGACAACATTCTTTGCTCAAAGTTGCCAATTTTGCCCTCTGCTTGATGAAATTTTGGCAAATGTTAAGAAATATGTGTGTATTTGCCTGTATAAACCCTGGGAAATTGAACAGTGTTCCATAGATTTGTTCAAAAGATTTTACAATTGAAGCTGTAGTCGGCTTAACCAAATCCATGCTGAGACTGGCCGGGTGTTATATAGTAGTATTAAACAATTCCCACATTCACTCAAGTTGAGGGCGTGTGAGGGTAAGAAAACACAAGACCACAAAAACCTAATTATGGTGCATTTCATGAGTGGAGTTTAGTATCCACTGAGGCGAACATCATACACTTCAGCTGCAGAGTACAGAAGATGACTCAATAACCTTCATTGAAGATGTACAACTTGTGTATGGCTGAGAGCCTACACATTAAGTATCCACTGTTAACGTTCATCAGGAGAACATAAAGTGAAAACCAAGGAGACGTGTACCATGAGAACCTTGTGCCTTTTAACGTATAATGTAAGTTTTTGTATCTTTATACCATGGTTTATTTCCTGCCTCTAATCTATTGCAATTCACAATTTTGTATTGCATTTTACAGGACATGGAACATTCTAGTATGTAGCACACAGTTTTAAGAAGCCTAAGTATTGGGTGCAGGCTGACTTAAAGCTCGTTTAAACTTGGTAAGTGCTAAAAGCCATCCTTTCCACTTTTACTTTTACTTTGACTGTCTGCAGCTCAATAAAATATGTGCATGCATTTCATTATTTTAGAGCACGAAGCGCAGTTTAGTAAAAAAGTTAATTTATTTTTTGTAATTCAACTTAAAATGTGAAACTAGATATATAGACTCATTGCATGCAAAATGACATGTTAACCCTCTAGGCGCCACGGTCGACTTAAGTCGACAAGCTGCGGTACTGTTAAAAACGGCCGAGTGTGACCAACTGAGTGTCAAAATTCATTCATACTCCCTGCCACTAGTTGGCAGACATGTCAGACTACCTCCCTGGCCCCAAAAAACGTCATGCTTCTATACAAAATATTCGAGCAAGACTGCGTTGAACCAGTGCAGAAATCATAGCGAAGCGAATGCAGCTGCGGGGCAGCCTGCGAGTGTTATACCGCACCAAACACTAACTTTAGACACTTTGCACAGGGTCTGCAGTGGGAACAGTGTTTCTTAGAGTAAGGCCAAGTCATTGGGAGGTTTGGAGACAGGTTAGATTTGCGGAGAACAACCCTGGAACTCGGGTCGGGGCGCCGCGCCGCGACCTCCCGCCTCCGCTCAAGTTTCCGCCAAAGTCTCCGCTAAAAGTGCTTCCCACATATGTATTTTCATGCCTCACGTAATCACCGGGACAGCAACGTGTTGGAGAAGCTTTGTCTTGTGTGTGTTAGACGAGAGAGAGCAGGGGAGATGAGAGAGAGAGCAGGGGAGACATCTGCAGCAGGAGGGTCGCGGTGACGCGCTTCTCCTGAAGGCGCGCGTCTGGGCAGACTGCTCACAGCAGCAGCATGATTTGTATTTTTTACTATTTTCATGAACATTTACAATGTTACAGTGTGTGCTCTGTGTGTGTTCATGTTCTAGTGATAAATATATGTCTGTCAGTTAGAAAAATACAAATATTGTATGAAAATTCTAAAATCCACTATTTCTAACGCCAAATGACGTCATAATATGCAAATTAGATGGGGGGATTTATTCTCTACATAAACTTTGGACCATCCTTTATATTTTTCTAATTTACAGAAAGCCTTTATCTCTTATCACTTTTAAGTTATAGCCTTTTGAAATTAAGATGTCAAAATCGAGCGTTTTGGAAAAAAACCTCTGGCGCTTAAAGGGTTAAGCCTGTATTGGTTATGATATTGATGATGGTTTACAGCTTAGGTCCAAATTCAAAATCTCAGAAGATTACAATATTACATGAAATCAATGAACAATTCATTTTAAACAGAAATGTGTGCCCTCTGAAAACTATAATCATGACTGCCTTAATGCAGCGTGGCATGGATGCTCTCGGCCTGTGGCACTACTGAGGTGTTATGGAAGACCAGGATGCTTCAATAGCTCCTTCAGCTCTTCTGCATTGTTCGGTCTCATGTCTCTCATCTTTCTTTTGGGCGGCACGGTAGTACAGCGGTTAGCACTCGTTCTTCACAGAAGGTCCGGGTTCGATTCGCACCAGGGATGGGGCCTTTCTGTGTGGAGTTCACATTTTAAGTTGAATTACAGAAGTAAATGAACTTTTTTTCTCACTGTCTGACATGAAACCAGAATTAACTTCTATTTTTTATTTTTTTGTATATATACAAAAAATATATAGGCGCTTTGTGTTGCCCTGTGCAGGAAAAGCGCCCTATAAATAAAGATTGATTGATTGATTGATATATATTTTAAGGTCAACTAGAATTTTAATTTTTAGAATTAGAATTTGGTGTAGATGTAATTGATGCAGCAATCCAGTTACAATGAAGAATTTAGTTCTTGATGCTTTGAGGAAGACATTTTTGAAAAAAATAAATTAAAAATATGACCCTACAGATAATACTGTCAGGAGTGACTGACATTAGTGAAAGATGAATTAAGATGTCTTTTCCATTAGTAATATAAACTTTAAAAAAATGTGCTTGACATGAACATTGTTTTTGCAGCAGGATACGAAGAATCTTAAGCTGACCAGTCACCTCTGGGTCATCAGTGATGCAGCCGCCAATCCTGCCTACAAAGTATGAACACTTCACACAAGCATAGGAGGACTTCTCTCACAAGGCTTATCATTTTTTACACATCAACTCTTCTAAAGCACTGAACAACCAACTTCAGAAAATCCTTGGTCTGATGATTAAAAGGTATGAAATTGACTTGTTATATTTAAGCAGGTTTTATTGTAAATATGATTGGCAATTGTTTGTTTGCTGGCCTTTTGTTAGTCCCTCCAGGATTTTACGATTTTGTCATCATAACTCTCTTTCAGTTGGCCTGGGACGATACACTTTTGTCGTGATTCGATACGTATCATGATACTCGGGGGCGATCCGAAATGACATTTGACATTCATTGAAGTGCTAAGACTGAAAAGTGCATTGACACAATATGTAACAAGGTGCTGTGTAACTGTTACTAGAAGACAAACACAAGTATTGCAATACTTGAAAGTATTGGTATTGCAGCAAAAAGTACGCGATCCAAATCCGATCATATATTTCGTCCCAGCCCAAATAAAAGTTATTTTCTTATTACCCTTGGCCTCTTTGGTATAATTTCAGTAGAATTCAAAGAAATGTGTCTTCATGTACAATTATGTTTAAGCTGAACCTTTCATCTTTTGGAAAAATGGAGCTTAAGCGGAGGTTCAGTATGGTAGACTACCTACGTTATCACGCCAGGCTTGACCACGCCTTACTCAGCCTGTCTTAATCAACTCCCCGCAGCCGTGTCAATCAAGCCAGCGTTTAAGAGCAAAGCAGAGCACAGCTCACCAAACGGACTTCAAGCTGCAATGGGCTGCTCTTCGTCACTTTGTTTACTCACGCCTCGCACATTGTTCGTCCTGCATGGTCGCGGCTCCTCTTCAACATCACATGTTTGGGGCTGCGCGCCATGGTCGCTGTGTCTCCACCGCGGCTCCTCTCCTGCGGACTCGCTGCCGCTCGTCTCCCCGTGGCCGCTGCGCTCGCGGCCAGGCTCCGCGCACCCTGCCGCTTCCATGCCGGGAACGGGACTTCTGTCTGCCTGCCGTCGTCTGCTGCCTCTGTCCACCCGTCTCCCTGCCTCCACTCACGGTACAGTGTCCGTTTCGTTGTTTTCCCCACTACCATGAACTGCACTGAACGTGTGTCAGTTAATCCCGCCGAATTGGCTCGCAGGCTGTGTTTTTACCCGATACATTGTCTGCAGGCTGTTCGTTTTACCATCTGCACTGGCATTTAGACCGTCCGTTTTCACCATGGACCGCACATTTTAACCACTGTATTGGCCTTCTGGCTGTCCGTTTTACTCATGGGATGAACATTCTACACAATGCAGTGACCTCCAGGCTGTCCGTTTGACTATGGTCTGAACATTTACCCACTGCATTGACCTTCAGGCTGTCAGTTGTAACCATGGACTATAACATTTGTCGTCTGCTTGGCCTTTGCGCTGTCTATTTAACCGTGGACTGTAAGTTTTGCCCACTGCATTGCCTCCCGGCTGTCCGTGTCTGATGAGCTGCTCTGATTGGTCGGAGCGCGGCCGAGCCCCTCTGTACTGTTCGACAACCAGCACTTTTAACCAGTGCGTTGGCCTTCAGGCATGCTTCAACGGCCTCACTTCAACGCTTCATCGCAGCACACGTCGGCGGCCGCACACTTCAACGCCCACACGCTTCGCCGACGCCACTTCGGTGGCCTTGACGCCGGCGCACGCCTTGACGCAGCCGCATGCATCAACGACGCCGCTCGCTTGGACGCCGCTCGCTTGGACGCCGCTCGCTTGGACGCCGCACGCCTTGACGCCTCAACGACGCTGCATGCCTTGATGCAGCACGCTTCAACGACGGCGCACGCTTCAACGACGGCGCACGCTTCAACGACGGCGCACGCTTCAACGACGGCGCACGCTTCAACGACGGCGCACGCCTTGAGGCAGCACGCTTTGACGCAGCACGCTTCAACGACGCCGCACGCTTTGACGCAGCACGCTTCAATGACGCCGCACGCTTTGACGCAGCACGCTTCATCGCAGCACGCGTCGGTGGCCGCACGCTTCATCGCCGTACGTCGGTCGGCGCACACGCTTCCACGTCGGTCTCCGCCTCCTGCCGCATTCTCGACCTCATGCTTCGACGCATTCGTGTGCTCTCATCCATTCATCGTGGAACCAGTGTCGACCATGGACTCGCGTTCCCTATTGGTGGGTGAACAATCCAACGCTAGGAGAGTTCTGCTTCACAATGACGGGAAGAGCCGGCATCGAAGGATCAGGTCAGTGGTCTGACTGAAGACGCGGTCTGACTGAAGACGCGGTCTGACTGAAGACGCGGTCTGACACTGCCCGTTGGTCCGACTGAAGATGCGGTCTGACACTGCCCGTTGGTCCTTTTCACTCGAGTGATAGTGGTTCGAGGTTTCTCTTTTCAGCTTCGCAGGAACGCGATGCCGCAACGCCGCACCAAAGCTCTGCTACAACGCCGCGACGGTGGCCTGCTGCAACGCTGGCCTGCTAAGACTGCATGAGTACTGTCGGCGTGGCCTTCAAACCTGGCCGGCTATCTTCCCCAGGCCGCACTCATTGGCTTTTCGTGTGCAGCACTGCCCGCCACGGTTTGCGTGCACTCTGAGTGGCTGTAGGCGGTGCTCCTTCTCATGTTCCCCAGGCATATTCTCTCCTGGTCTCCTGGTGCGGCTCCTGCCGCCGGGCCTGTCTCACGCTTCGCCTTACCTGACGCACCCTGGCCCTCATTCTGACCGGGCCCTTGTGCGTTGGTTTTTGGGGGTCCAGAGATCTCCTATCGAACATCAATCTTCCTGGGTAAGTGTACTTCATGAATCTCATTTTCACCTTCTAGTCTCCCCAAGTGGAATCATGTTCGAATATCAGCGCTCTAAACACCAGCAGTTCATCCTTCATTCAGCATTCTCCTTTCCCTCTCACTGCACACTCTCAGTCTCTGGACATCAGCATCGCGGGTACTGCCGTCACTGCCTCATCTACATCGGCATTAAATACATTCTCTAAAATCCACTTCGAGTCACACTGCTCCACCCTCATAAGAAGATCCTTAAAGGAGTATTGGCATGGTCCTTGTTCTGTAGTTTAGGTCCTGGACGACTAGCCTGTCTGTCCGTGGAGTGGATTCCCTCTCTCTATGTAGGGTCTTCCGAAGGTTTCTCACTTTTTTCCCCACGGGGTTTTGTGAGTTTTCCTTGCCATGCAGGAGGGTCTGGACAGTTAGTGTCCAACTAGAAGGCCCGTGGTGATGATCCAGGATACTTTAACATTCTACAACATCTATGGACATTTTATCAACATTCATAGACTATAATTACTCCTTAAACAATCCCTCGACGACCCCCTGGTCTGAACAAATTCAAAACCTCTGCTCCCTGCATGTAACCTCTCTTCCTTTCTCTACACCCGCCACTCCTTCCGGATAGGAGCAGCCACTTGGACTGCTGCCCTGGGACTCCCTCAATCATCTCTCCAGGAGCTCGGTCCCCGGTTCTCTACCACATTCATCCGTTCTGGCAGCCCAGCACCTCCTCTCATATAAGTACGTATGCATCTCCTGGTGGTGGCAACTCCTCATTTCCAGCATGCCGCGCACTCGAGCCGAGCTCGTGCGTGTGCCAACGCCTAGCGCTAGAGCCGAGCTCGCGCACGGACATTACGCCGCGCACTCGAGCCGAGCTCATGCGCGTGCCAACGCCTAGCGTTAGAGCCGAGCTCGCGCACGGACATTACGCCGCGCACTTGAGCCGAGCTCGTGCGCGTGCCAACGCCTAGCGTTAGAGCCGAGCTCGCGCACGGACATTACGCCGCGCACTTGAGCCGAGCTCGTGCGCGTGCCAACGCCTAGCGCTAGAGCCGAGCTCGCGCCCGGGCATTACGCCGCGCACTTGAGCCGAGCTCGTGCGCGTGCCAACGCCTAGCGCCAGAGCCGAGCTCGCGCACGGAAACAGTCACTCACACCATGCGCCTTCCATAAACGCAGCAACCAAGTCATGGCAAACGCATCGCTAGCCAAGCTCTCTTTTTGGGGATCATGATCTGCACCCAGGCGCAGATCTCTCCAGAGCACGGCCACAGCCGGGGCCTAAGCTCCAAACCAATAAACGAACTCAATCCATAAAATAAACAACTCTTAAACGCATCTCGTCTCTTGTAGTCTCTCCAGGTTGAAATGGAGCTTAAGCGGAGGTTCAGTATGGTAGACTACCTACGTTATCACGCCAGGCTTGACCACGCCTTACTCAGCCTGTCTTAATCAACTCCCCGCAGCCGTGTCAATCAAGCCAGCGTTTAAGAGCAAAGCAGAGCACAGCTCACCAAACGGACTTCAAGCTGCAACCACCTCCTCCCCACCTCCGCCTCAGGATTTCTTCACTCTCACATTCACCTTGCCTTGTTGCCACCACCAGTGTCTAGGCCCCGGGGGATCATGATCTGCACCCAGGCGCAGATCTCTCCAGAGCACGGCCACAGCCGGGGCCTAAGCTCCAAACCAATAAACGAACTCAATCCATAAAATAAACAACTCTTAAACGCATCTCGTCTCTTGTAGTCTCTCCAGGTTGAAATGTTTTTAGCCCCCAACAATCACAAACAATACCTGCAAAATCCTGGAGGAATTGAAACTATTTTTAAAGGTTGTTACAATGTTCTCATCAAAAACACATCAGGACCTGTGTTTTGAACCACTAGCGTCTGGTCTGATAGGGCCCACATTGTATATCGTTCATCATAGATTCAGGAAATTAAACTACTGGATAATTGTAGGCATGTACCCATGTAGGCATATGGGGCCCATGTGGGCCTTAAGGTTTTTACCCACTTTGGACCCACATGGAACCCATTCAAACCCCACTTTTAGCCCACATGGGCTTAACCAAATGGGGCCCACATGGAAACCGCGGACAAAACCATTTGTTACCCATGTGGGCATATGGGGCCCAAGTGGGCCTTATGGTTTTAACCCACTTTGGACCCACATGGAACCCATTCAAACCCCACTTTTAGCCCACATGGGCAAAACCATATGGGGCCCTCATAGAAACTGCTGACAAACCCACTTGTTACCCATGTGGGCATATGGGGCCCAAGTGGGCCTTATGGTTTTAACCCACTTTGGGCCCACATGGAGCCCATTCAAAACCCACTTTTAGCCCACATGGGCAAAACCATATGGGGCCCTCATGGAAACCGCGGACAAACCCACTTATTGCCCATGTGGGCCCCATGTGGGGCCCACATTGCTTTGCTGGCTGGGCAGTTATTTATTTGAATCAAGACGTATGTCAGCATTGAACATTCCTCCATCAATCAAGAGATCAATAAAGTTTGATCTTATGAGCCTAAAAGTTGCTCTATTGGGTCATGATGAGCTCGTTTCCAACTGATTCTTGGTACTTTGTGGGCAGTTTGTTATCTGCTCGTCAGTCTTTATCTGCTGCGCTCCACGGCACAGGAAATACATTCTGTTAGGATTTAAGCAGACAGAGACGGATCGTGGTGTGCCAAACTCTGGAAGTTTATTTAAGTTTCTCTCAAGTTCCACTGGTTTACTCTGTTTCTTTCTCCCAGACAGAATAAAGGCAGTACACAGTTTATATAGTCATTGTCACGTCACACATGGAAAGACATACGTGTCACAAAGAGACAGTGCAAATCAGAGTCATAACATGGAGTCCTTGTAGAGTCCTTGTACAGTCCTGCACGTAGGCCATATTGCTATCTAATACTAACACCCTCCCCTTTGATCACATAATCACATGTGATCATTCAATTTGCTCAATCAATAAAGTGTAAAAAGAAGAAAAAAAAAAATTCCTAAAAAAAACTTTAAAAAATTATTAAAAACAAAGAAAATGTATGCATTAAACTCATAATCATCAAATCAATATCAGTGGATTTTATCCTCTATCCTGGGAAAAAATAAACAAACAAACAAAAACAAATCAAAAAATAAAAACAAACAAAAACTATTGGACACACAAGAACTCAGCAAATTCAGTCAAAACACAGACAAAAACGAGCTGAGTCTCAATTTAGAAGCTAATTTCACTTTTCTTACTCTATACTT